TGATATGATGAGGGAGTGGATGAGCTGTTTAGTGGTTTTCTGGGGTTAGGAACGTGCGGATTTTGGCGATGTTGCGGAGGTGGAGTCGGCACGAGTTTGTTAAAGATTGGACTTGGGGCTGGAAGGATAGGTTGGAGTCCAGAATGACACCCAGTACTCTGGCCTGCAGGGCGGGTTTGATATTGGCGTTGTTGGATGTGATGTAGAAGTCAATGGGGGGTGGGGTTCGGGCTGGGGGGAAGACAAGAAACTCGGTTTTTGGAGAGGTTCAGTTTAAGGAAGTGGAGCGACATCCAGTCTGATATGTCGCTCAGCAGGTGTGTGATTAGGGCAGAGACCGAGGGGGTGAGGTGGGGGGTTGAGAGATAGATTTGTGTGTCGTCGGCATAGAGGTGGTAGTTGAAGCCGTGAGAGTGTATGAGTTGGCCAAGGGAGGAGGTGTAGATGGAGAAGGGAAGGGGCCCAAGGACAGAGCCTTGAGGGACCCCAACAGAGAGGGGGAGTGAGGGGGAGGTGGTAGCATTATAGGTAACGCTGAAAGAGCGTTGTGACAGGTAGGATGAGAGCCAGGAGAGAGCAGAATCTCTGAGGCCGAGGGAGTGTAGTTTTTTGAGGAGGAGGGGGTGGTCGACTGTGTCGAAGGCCGCAGAGAGGTCAAGGAGTAGGAGCACTGAATAGTGGCCATTAGCGTTGGCGGTTAGAAGGTCGTTGGAGAGTTTGAGTAAGGAGGTTTCGGTGGAGTGTAGGGGGCGGAAGCCGGACTGTAGGGGATCGAGGAGGTTGTTGTTGTTGAGGTGAGAGCATAGGCGGGTGTAGACGAGGCGCTCGAGGAGTTTAGATGTAAGTGGGAGCAGGGAGATGGGTCTGAGGTTGTTCGGGTCATTGGGGTCCAGGAGGGCTTTTTAAGTATGGGGGTGATGTGTGCATGCTTCAGTGGGGAGGGGAAAGTGCCGGAGGAGAGGGAGAGATTAAAGATGTGGGTAAGGGAGCGTAGGATGGAGGGGGAGGGAGGTCGTAGGAATTGTGAGGGGATAGGGTCGAGGGGGCAGGTGGTGAGGCGGGCATCAGAGAGGATCTTGGAGACTTCCTCGATGGTAGTAAGGTCAAAGGTGTGGAGTGTTGGGGGAGCTTCAGTATGAGGAATGTAGGGTGGGGTGGGAGTGGAGGTCAGAGCAGTGGTGGGGCCGTGGGAGAGGGGTGATGAGGGGGTAGCTGAGTGAGGGGGAACGGGGTTGGAGGGAGTTTGAGCAGTGACGAAGTCCCTGCGGGTAATGTCGAGGGGGAGGGGGGATAAGGGGGTAGCTGTGTGAGAGGGGACGGGTTGAGAGGGTGTGTGAGTTGCGGCAATGTCCTTGCGAATTGTGTCAATCTTGTTTTTGAAGTGATTGGCAATCTCAAGGGCGGTGAGTGAGAGTGCTGGGTGGAGGTGGGGGTGGAGAGAGTAGAGAGTTGAAGGTGGAGAAGAGTCGGCGAGGATTGGAGGAGAGGGCCTTGATGAGGGTCAGGAAGTAGGCTTGTTTGGCTGCGTGGAGGGAGGAGGTGTAGGTGCAGAAGGCAGATTTGTAGCAGGTGAAAGCTTGTTGGGATTTTGTTTTGCGCCATAGTCGCTCCAGGGCACGACTGCGTCGTTTGAGGGTTTTTGGTGTGATCAGTCTGCCAGGGCTGGAGCGGTCGGAGTCTGATGTTGCGTGTGGTTAAAGGCGCTAGTGAGTCAAGGGCTGCTGACAGCGCGTTGTTGTAGGCAGTCATAGCCAAGTCGGGGCAGGACAGGGGGAGGATGCGGTCGTGGAGTTGATCAGCTGCAGAGTGGAGGGGGGCAGGGTTAAGGTTGCGGAGGTTACGGCTGGTAGTAGTGTGACATTTGGAGGGGTAGGCGTTGGAGGACGAGGAGATAGAGAAGGTGATCAGGTTGTGGTCAGAGAGAGGGAAGGGGGTGTTAGTGAGGTTGTGGGGAGCGCAGCGGTTGGGAGAAGACAAGGTCCAGGATATTTCCGTCGGAGTGGGTGGTGGATTGTATGCACTGTGCAAGTGTAAAGGAGGAGGTTAAGTGGAGGAGACGGGCTGTGTCCGGGTTGTCAAGGTTGACAGGGATGTTGAAATCCCCAAGAATGATGGTGGGTAGCTCAGAGGAGAGGAAGAAGGGTAGCCAGGAGGAGAAGTCTTCCAGGAAGCGGGGTATGGATCCAGGAGGCCGGTATATCACAGCAATCTTCAGGGGGGTTGGGGAGAATAGTCGGACGCAGTGGGCCTCGAAGGAGGAGAAGGATAGGGAGGGGGGGTTTGGGAGGACTCGGAAGGTGCTCTGCGGTGACAGGAGCAGACCAACCCCACCACCTTTACGACCGTTAGGCCTGGGTGAGTGGGTCCAGGTGAGACCTCCATAGGAGAGTGCAGCAGGGGAGGTAGAGTCAGTGGGCTGGATCCAGGTTTCCGTGATCGCTAGGAGGTTGAGGGAGCGGGAAACAAAGAGGTCGTGGATGGCGGTAAGCTTGTTGCACACCGATCGGGCGTTCAGGAGTGCACATGAAAAACGGGGGGAGATTTTAGGGAGCAGGGGGACAGATACTAGGTTGCGGGGGTTGCGGTAGGACATGGAGGCGGGAGGGTGTTGTGCGGGTTAGGGAGGTGGAGGGCCAGGATTCGGGGAGATGTCTCCCGCGGCTAGGAGGAGGAGAAGGGTGAGAAAGGTGGCATGGGAGCGGGATGTGCAGGAGCGTGAGAAACTCCTAGTGGAGGTGTTCGGGTCACTGGGAGTGGAATAATAGGAGGAGGTGGTGGGTGCCATAGAGGGGCGAAGGAAGCAGTGAGGACACAATATACAATTGTTTAGGAGGAGCAGAGGGATATAGTGAATGGATTTTGGGAATGGAGGAGAGGAAAATGAGAAGGAGTAGAAGAGGCATTTTGTGGGGTGATGAGAGCAGTAGTAGGGAGATGATAGCAATGAGGGGGAGATGTGCAAGTTTTGGGGTGTAGCAGAGGGGTAAAGAAATGAGATTTGGGAACAGAGGATAGTAGTATGAAGAGGAGTGTATTATATAAAGGTACACAGAGTGGGACTCAGGCATGTAAGAGATGTTTCCCAGGGTGTTCTGGTCACATGATCCCCCTGTGTCAGACAGAGGCAGCTGCAGGGGAGAGGAGAGAGCACTCAAAATGACTAGTTATGCCTGGGAGCAAAGACATCACCCGTAGGCTCCTATGGCCCATCTGTTGTCGGTATTCCCTCCTCTCCACAGCACCCGCCACTAGCTCATTCTTAACCTCGGAAACTACTATGCAACCTATTCCCTCCCTGGTTATCTCTCGCCTTGACTATTGTAACTCCCTCCTCATTGGCCGACCTCATCGCAGGCTATCCCCCCCCCTTCAGTCTATCATGAATGCTGCTGCCAGACTCATCCACCTCACTAACCATTCTGTATCTGCCACCCCTCTCTGCCAATCTCTCCACTGACCTCCACTCAGTGTCCTCCACCCCTCTCTGCCAATCCCTCCACTGACCTCCACTCAGTGTCCTCCATCCCTCTCTGCCAATCCCTCCATTGGCCTCCACTCAGTGTCCTCCACCCCTCTCTGCCAATCCCTCCACTGGCTTCCCATTGCCCAACGGATAAAATTCAAAACATTAACAACATAAAAGCCATATATAACTCTGCCCCAAATTACATCACCAATCTTGTCTCCAAATATCACCCAAACCGTCCTCTCCGCTCCTCGCATGATCTCCTGCTCTCTTGCTCCCTTGTCTCCTCCGTCACATGCCTGATGAAGGGGTCCTGCGAGACTCCGAAACGTTGCCTTGCTGTAACTGTGATCAATTATTAAAACCTTTGGACCCATATTGGTGATCCTCGTGTGCTGGTGACATTTTCTCCTCCTCCCATGCTCGTCTCCAGGACTTCTCCAGAGCTTCCCCTATCCTCTGGAACTCTCTACCCCAATTTATCAGACTATCGCCTACTCTACTCACTTTTAGGCGATCTCTGAAAACCGATCTCTTCAGGGAAGCCTATCCTGCCCTCAACTAATAATGGAATCTTCTACTCTTCCAACCAGTCTATCCCCCACAGTTATTACCTTTTGTACCACTAGCCCCTCCCTCTTAGATTGTAAGCTCCAAGGATCAGGCCCTCCTATCCCTCTTGTATTGAACTGGATTGTTGCTCTATTGTCTCCCGTTATACTCTAAAGCTCTGAGCAAACTGTTGGCGCCATAAATGCTGTATAATAATAATAGCTGACACAGGGAAACCAGATCACATGACCAGACCGGAGCAACCAAAAAACAGGAAAGTATATAGATCTTTTTTTTTTTAAAGAGATTTATTTTACATGGGTGTTCGGATGGAGGAGGAAGCATTTTTTAGATTAGATATAGGCTGGAATTCCACTTTAAAGTGGTATAAAAACTCCAGTTTTTTAAAACTTGCTGACAGGTAGGGTTTTGATGACAGAAGAGACCCGTCAAGACCAGTGGGAGTGGAGACGGTGCAATGCCGGAGGGTTTCACTTGACAGCTAAGTCTGCCATAATGTGCCAATATGTGGTGCATACTACACATTATGACCTTAGAGTGTACGCTCCTTGAGGCAGGGAATGTACAATGTATATGTAAATTGATGGCGCTGTATTAGTACCCGTTATAAAATAATAAATCTCACCTGTGTGCCCATGTATTTAAAAAAAAAAAAAAAAAAATCTGGTTTAATACCACTTTAATCGTGATGCACAGTCTGATTTTGTGCTGAATATTGGCTCCTTCCATCCATGGAGTTTCTGCGCTCACGGCATGTGTCTGATCTGTCAGCAGGGTGCTGTGTATGTGTGTAACTAGTCTGAGGGGAACTACTTGTGTGTCTGCCATGTTGTTGGAGTGCTGTATATGGAGCTCATACAATTGTCTTCTCTCTCCTTTTAGGATGTCCGGAATGATGGAACTCCGCATCCAATGAGCGCCGCCTTCCCTGCGTGATTATCGGTCGCTGAAGACGTGAAAGATGAATGTGGGAGCCGCTGCGCTTCCTTCTTTCTGGAGGAGTGTCTTGGTGTTGCTCGTGGCTTCCTCCGCCCACTGCGCATGGCTGAACGAGCTTGCAGACACAGCCCAAGAATGGGATGGTCAGCTGGAGGCCTCCATGCATTCGCTGTTCTCGGAACCTAAAGAGCCTGTGGCCCCTGCAACCGGCATCCCTGACAGCTCCGTCATGGTGGGCCGCGTCTTCAGGATAGCTATCCCCGCCCACCTGCGCCCATCTGGGGGGGGAAGTGGTCAAGGTGAGGAAAATTCTGCCTTTGTGTGGAATGTTTAATGATATTTATGGTGATTTTCGAATGTTTCCAAGTGTGATACTGAGAAGCAGAAAACGTATCAGCTTTTGTACGTTATCAGTTATCTCTGGTTGTTAGGTGCACCCACACAGGCTCATGAAGTACCTGCAAAGAAATGTTGCTCTTTACGGCAATTAAAAGTCCTTTTTAGCAAACAATTTAAAAGTCTGATGGGGCTGCTTTGTTTGAAGTTTGGGAGAAATGTAGGATAAGCACAAGCCAGGCTACTGACATTCTTAGAAATCTTCCATATATCTGTTAGTAAATCAACCTTTAGGTGCGATAATACTATCCCAAAGCAGTTGGATGGAGGCCACGAGGTTTGTGACGATAGAAGCTGGGGTGTGAAAATTGCAGAGGGTCGCCATCTCTGCATGGTGGGGGTATAAGGCCTGGGTTACACTTGTAGTTGCAGTCCACCTTGAATAGCTCTTCAGAGGGCTACTGGAAAAGTAAACGAGGCCCTATTGTAATGTTGACCCCGTCGAGATTAAAAAATTGACTGGTATGTGTTCAAGGTGGCTGTGTCTCTTCAGAGATCTGATTGGCGCCTCATCTGCCAGCGTTCAGTAGAAAACTACAGCTCCACTGCCACAATACTGTATGGACATTTTAATTAATGGTTTGACTTGCCATCCCTCCCACGTAATGGGGTGTCCCTAGTTGGATTGCTATGGAGGTTCTCCACTCATGTTCTAGTTGTGGGGCAGAGGAACCTTCTACATGGGGCCAATTGTTAGACCTGCTGGGCTGTCCTAGCATTTCAGGATTACAGGATAATGCCTAGTTGGTTCTAGTGATTGGAGTTGATATGTCAGTTTGGAGGTTGGTTCTAAGGATTGGGTGTATATGTCGGTTTGACACCTTTCTCTGTGTTGTGCGAGTTATGTTGGTGTGGTGGTTGGTTCTCAGGATTGGAGCTATATGTTGGTGTGGTGGACAGTTCTAGGGTTGGAGGTTGGTTCTAGGGATTGGGGTTATGTCAGTTTGGTGCCTTTCTCTCCATTGTCCAGAATAATGACCTGTCGATTCTAGGAATTGGGATTTTCAGCCAGTTCTAGGGATTGGGGTTATATGTTGGTTTGCCAGCCTTTCTCTGCATTATGGCTGGTCAGTTCTAGGGGTTGGGGGGTCATTTGGCAGTTGATGTTAGGGATTGGGTTATATGTCAATTTGGCAGCTTTTCTCTGTGCTGTCCAGGGTGATGGCCAGCATTTCTTAGAAATGGGGGTTAAAGGCTGGTGAAGAAGTCCATTCTTGGGATTGGGTTTATATGATGGTTTGGTGGTCCCTTCTAGGGATTTGGATTATAGGCTTATAGGAATTTGGGTTGTAGGCCGGTTAGACAGTCCATTCTAGGGACTGAAGTTATAGGCTAGTTTTGGTCCATTCTAGGGATTGGGGCTATATGTCGGTTTGGTAGTCTGACCTAGGGGTTAAGGTTATGGGGGTCTGTTCTAGAGATGGGGGTTATAGATTGGTTTGGTGGTCTGTTTGTACGGTTTTAGGGATTTGGGCTTTATGTTGGTTTGATGATCTGTTCTAGCGATTGGGGTTGTGGGCTGCTTTGGTAGTCCATTGTAGGGATTGGGGTTATATGTTGGTTTGGTGGTCTGTTCTAGGGATTGGGGTTGTGGGCCGGTTTGGTGGTCTGTTCTAGGGATTGGGGTTGTGGGCCGGTTTGGTGGTCTGTTCTAGGGATTGGGGTTGTGGGCCGGTTTGGTGGTCTGTTCTAGGGATTGGGGTTGCGGGCCGATTTGGTGGTCTGTTCTAGGGATAGGGGTTGCAGACTGGTTTGGCGGTCCATTTTAGGGATTGGGGCTTATATGTTGGTTTGGCGGTCAGTTCTAGGGATTGGGTTTGTATGTCGGTTTTGCATTGTCTGGGGAATGGACTATCTCACCAGCTGGGAACATTCTGCTTTAGAGGGACTCCTTGTCAGCAATGGAAGGGGCTCACTGGATAAGGAGTGCAGTGTCTGCAGCAGTGCTTCCAATTATGTGGCATCTCTTCAGCTTCGTCTTCACTAAAACCGTTGACACATGAAGTTTTTTGGGGCTGAATTTCTCTTACTATGCCAAGTATTGCTCTATGTTTCCGACGATGCTGGCGGCACGCTTCTACACATGTAATGTAAACAGCACTCTTCACATGCACGCCATAGGCCTCTCAGGCAGGTACATACACGCTCGGAGGTACGCGGGATGGCAAGCAGTTCGGAAATGCTTCTGTTGGCAGCTTTTGTGTCTGAACAAACGGCTGTAATTCAATCAGAGCTTTAACTCATTTACAAATAAAGGGCTTTTCTCTGGCTGCTTTTTGTCTGTTAAACATGAAATACGACTTTCCCAGCTGTGCACAGCCAGTGCTGCATGGTGGGTGTGGGGCGGCTGAGGTGATGCAGCTGTTACCAGACCATAAACCCCCCCCCCCAGCAGTCTGCCCTAATTACTGCCATTGTCAGTGCTGGAATGTTATGAGAACGCTGACGTCTTCTCCACCATCTTCTGCTCTGTCCGCTTCCACCTTGCTGTTGACATCCACCAATCTCTGTCTTAACCAAACAGCTCACCTTCACCTATATTCATCCCAATCTATGGTCATCTGCACCAGAGGCTTGTATTCACCTATATCCGTCTTCACTGCATGGTCCATGTCCACCTATGTCCGACTCCACATCAGTGGCCGAATCCACCTATATCTGCCATCCACTCTTATGTTCATCCAGCTATGTTTCTCCACTACGTGGTAACTGACCACCACTTGACCCACGTCCACCTATATGCATCGCCACCCCACAGGCCACGTCAGTCTACAGCTATTTCCACTGCACATCCCATTTCCACCTATATCCATCTCCACTGCTCAGCCCACATCCACCTACAGTATATCCATCTTCACCCCATAGGCCACATCAGTCTTATATCCATCTCCACTGCATGGCCCACACCTACCTATATCCATCTCCACCCCACAGGTCACATCGGTCTACATCCATCTCCATTGCATGGCTCTTGTCCCCTTTATATCCATCTCCACTGCATGGCCCACACCTACCTATATCCATCTCCACCCCACAGGTCACATCAGTCTACATCCATCTCCATTACATGGCTCATGTCCCCTTTATATCATCTCCACTGCACGGCCCACGTCCACCTATATCCATCTCCATCCCACAGGTCACATCAGTCTACATCCATCTCCATTGCATGGCTCATGTCCCCTTTATATCCATCTCCACTGCACGGCCCACGTCCACCTATATCCATCTCCACCCCACAGGTCACATCAGTCTACATCCATCTCCATTACATGGCTCATGTCCCCTTTTATATCATCTCCACTGCACGGCCCATGACCACCTATATCCATCTCCACCCCACAGGTCACATCAGTCTACATCCATCTCCATTGCATGGCTCATGTCCCCTTTATATCCATCTCCACTGCACGGCCCACGTCCACCTATATCCATCTCCACTGCTCAGCCCACATCCACCTACAGTATATCCATCTTCACCCCATAGGCCACATCAGTCTTATATCCATCTCCACTGCATGGCCCACGTCCACCTATATCCATCTCCACCGCACAGGTCACATCAGTCTACATCCATCTCCATTGCATGGCTCATGTCCCCTTTATATCCATCTCCACTGCACGGCCCACGTCCACCTATATCCATCTCCACCCCACAGGTCACATCAGTCTACATCCATCTCCATTGCATGGCTCATGTCCCCTTTATATCCATCTCCACTGCACGGCCCACGTCCACCTATATCCATCTCCACCCCACAGGTCACATCAGTCTACATCCATCTCCATTACATGGCTCATGTCCCCTTTTATATCATCTCCACTGCACGGCCCATGACCACCTATATCCATCTCCACCCACAGGTCACATCAGTCTACATCCATCTCCATTGCATGGCTCATGTCCCCTTTATATCCATCTCCACTGCACGGCCCACGTCCCATATCCATCTCCACTGCTCAGCCCACATCCACCTACAGTATATCCATCTTCACCCCATAGGCCACATCAGTCTTATATCCATCTCCACTGCATGGCCCACGTCCACCTATATCCATCTCCACCGCACAGGTCACATCAGTCTACATCCATCTCCATTGCATGGCTCATGTCCCCTTTATATCCATCTCCACTGCACGGCCCACGTCCACCTATATCCATCTCCACCCCACAGGTCACATCAGTCTACATCCATCTCCATTGCATGGCTCATGTCCCCTTTATATCCATCTCCACTGCACGGCCCACGTCCACCTATATCCATCTCCACCCCACAGGTCACATCAGTCTACATCCATCTCCATTGCATGGCTCATATCTCCTTTATATCCATCTCCACTGCACGGCCCACACCTACCTGTATCCATCTCCACTGCTTGGCCCACATCCACCTATGTTCGACTCCACCTCAGCAGACCATGTCCACATATATTTGTCTTCCACTCATGTTCATCTCTACCACAGGACCTTCATCCATGTCTACCTGTGTTTCTCCACTGCACAGCCAAAGTCCACCGTATAGCCCATGTCTGTCTATAGCCATCTCTGCTGCATGGCCTATGTCCACTTATATCTATCTACACATCCCACATTTACCTATATCTGACTCAACCACACAGCCCATACCCACCTAATACAGTGTCTACCGCACACCCCGCCCCCACTTGTCTCTCTCCTCTCTCTGTTCATGTTCACTGATATTTCCACTACATGGTTATGTATCTACCTGCATCAGTCTCCACTGTACAGTTACATTTCCATCAACAACATACACCTCTACCAAGTATTCCCTTATCCTCCTGCACTGAATCGCCCTGCCGCCATTTATGTCTGTTGGTGGCTGTACATATCAACTGGGCTTTCCATGTCGGGGAAATACTCTGCGATTTCTGTTGCATGGGA